TCACCTGGTGGGACCCACACATTCATTACCTGTGCTGACAGCTGCTCTTGGCCATCCCTCTCAGCAGGGGTGGTGTTTTTAAACTGGAACCTGTTTAGGTCTGTTTGCAAAAATCAGAGCTAGAATTAAAACCCCTGCAGTTTGGCCCTTCAGGGTTTGTACATGCAGGCACCAGTGTGCTACTCACGTTGTTTTCTGCAGCGACTGTGTCTATCCCTGCCTTTGCTCATCTGGCTTTACATTTGGAAAACTGTGATTGTTCCCAGGACATCATAACTCTGAGCCTTGCTGGTGGCTGAAATCACCTCTTCATCCCTCAGGAGGAAGGTTCAGAGCAAAGGCAGGAAGGTCCCTCACACAGTGCAGCGTCAGAGGTGGGTCCATCACCACTGGACATGGTGGCAGTTCACAGTTCGCAGGGATCCAGCAGTGATTAAGCAGATTTGTGACAGAGAAATCCCTCAACAGCTTAATAAATTGACAAACTTCACCTCTTTCTCAAGCCAGAAAGCCCCAGTTTTGGGGATGGTGTTGGTCCTATTCATAGCACCAGCACAGGTTTCAGTCTTGCAAGCAGGACACAGCTATATTTGGAGCTGGATTTATCCACAGGCATGCTGCACATGCATCAGCTGGGCTGTCTAGCAGCAAAATCCTGGCAGTTAAGTAATCCTTCAGTAGAAGGTAGTTTCACATCCCACCTTCATTCAGCTTCTCATCCAAGAAAATGTCCCATAATAAAAACTGGGATTTTCTGCTTCAGGGATACCAGCAGCTCCCATCCCTTCCCAGTGCTGGGCTGGTCAGTTGTTATCTTTCCTCATCTCCAAAAGGAGATGGTAGTTTAATGGCAGCAGTGGGCAGGACAGGGATTTTGGGGGATTTCAAGGCAGCAAGTGGGGGGTTCTAACTCTGGGGCTCTCTCTATGCTCAGGTCTGGCAGTAGCTGTGACATTCCACAGTGCAGTGAAATCCTTGTGATGGGAAGCACCAGGCATCCAGGGGAACTAATGAGGCTGTCGTGTGATTAGTGCCTGCAGCCCACCACAGGTGTTGTGTGATCCCTGGGATGTGGGATCCCAAAACACATCCTAATCTCAGCTGCCCCAGAGTGCTGCTTCTGGCAATAAAGGATGAGATATCCCAGATGTCCAGGAGTGCATGGGAGCAGGTGAGGGGCTGAAGTGGGGGCTCCTGTGTTCAGGGAAAGGGTGGAGAGGAGTTTTGGGGTGTTGCCAGCCCCTCTCCCCCTGCCCACAGGCAGTTCCAGCTTTCCCTCTGCTGCACTGCCCTCTCCAGATCCCTCTATTTTCTGGCAGATAGGATTAAGCCTGACCTTCCGCCCCATCTCAGAGAGAGCCAAACCTCTTTCAGATCTAATTATTTTCCATTTTTGTTTAATTGTGCATATCCTGCTGCTGGCTGAGAAGGAGACCAGCTCCTGCCTGGGCCAGGAAGGGCACCCAGCCCTTCATCAGCTGCAGGCTTTTGGGTCAGTGCTCCATCTTTTGGGGTTGTGCTTTAAACCCCCAAAACTCTTGGAGGTCCATGGCAAAGTTCCCAAGAAGCAGCTCTGGTGCCATCCTGTGTTTCTCCAGTGGGAGCCTTCATGCTCAGTTCTCCCCCATGAGAGGAGGAGGAGTCCAGCCACAGCCACCTGCCTCCTTCCTCCTCCTCCTCCTCCTCCTGCACCCAGTTTACACCAGGTTCTGCTTTTTCTCTGTGTGTTTTGCTCCTTCTTTGAGCAGTGCATTGCAGGCCTTTTTTTTTTTAATGATCTTTGATTTCTCAGTTTATCTGAGCTGCTACAGAATCCCAGCTGGTGCCAGGCTGGGGTTTGGCTGTGCCAGCCTGAAAGTGCTGCTGAACCACCATGAGAGCAATGATAAAATATCCGGGTGTGACATCCCTCTCTGCAGGAGGATGGAAGAAAATAAGACATGTTTTCAACTCACCAGGCAGCTGACTAAGAGAGAGGGGACAGATAAATCAGATTCATCCCAACAGGAAGCCTTGCCTGGAGCAGGGACATCTGCATATGGAAAATATGGATATGCTCTGGTGAGCCTTGAGTCCTGCTACACTCATGTATCCTTTATAGCATCACTTTTACTGAGTGTTACTCTCCCAAATCCCATTTTTTTTAGCACCAAAACAACCTCACATCGTTCCCACAGGCACCAAAAAGTACCACAAGTCCCTTCTGCTGCCATACAGCAGTTCCTTCCCCACCAAAGCTGTGCCACGTTGTGTCCCTTGCTCCTTTCGGCACAGGACGGCTCGGGCACGCTGTCGCTGGCTCAGGAAGTGGCTCTGGAGGAGGTGGAGGTCTGTGGAGAAGTGAATTCCAGTGCAGAAAGTTCCAGGGAGAGTCACCAGTGTTTCCAGCAAGCCATCTAGTGGCTTCCTATTAAAACAGTTGCATGCCTTGGAGCTGGGGAGGTGGATCTGGAGGGGTGAGTGCTGCTCTCTGCTGCAGTGGTGTCAGGAAATTGATGTCCAGAGTTTGGTCCTAACTAGGAGAAGGTGCTGCTCTAACATCCCTCTTCTGGGTCAGGGGTGATGGGAGGGTTGGGTTAGCTGCTGGCCAGCAGCATGGGTCATACACAAACACAGAATCATGGAATGTCCTGAGGTGGAGGGGACCCACAAGGATCATAGAGTCCAATTCTGGGTCACAGAATATCCTGAGCTGGATATTGATTTGCTCTTGTGCCTCCCCAAGAGCAAACCTGATGAATGAGCCTACAGATCTGGATCTGCATTTCAGTGGTATGAGTTCAGTTACCCTAGCTCAAAAGCACACAGAGGCTATAGGGGTAATCAATGATTCAGAGCAGCTTCCTGTACAGAATGGACTGAAGACAGCAGACAGGAGGAGAGAATGTAAAGTTTTGGGGGATTTTTTTTCAGCATTTCACCTGATGAAGTTTCGAGCAGTGTGTTTAAAGCAAGCAGGAGAGAGTGTTCTCCACCCAGCAGTTCAGTTCTGGCTCCTGTAGCACAGCTTAAGACAGGGGCTGAAAGTTTTCAGGATTTACAGAGGGGTTTGGTCAGTACTGGAGGAGAGACTGCCCTGGGGCTGGGAAATGTCATTTGGCTGGTCTGGGTAGATTTGGTAGATGTTTGGAGTTTGTATCAGCTCTTCAGAGAAACCTCTGGTGATGGAGATCTCACAATGTCCTATAGAAGGCAGTTTCATCATGTCCAACCTCATTCATCTTTGCTGCAGTTCAAGTCACAGAATCATAGAATTGTTCATGTTGGAAAAGCCCTCCAAGATCATTGAGCCCTGCACTGCCAAGGCCACATCCTCACAGGTGTTAAATCCCTCCAGAGATGGTGACTCCACCATTTCCCTGCAGCAGATGTGGAGAGCAGCTTTTCCATGCCCGTGTTCACCTCTGAGCCAGGTGTCAGGCTGCCTGGTGCAGCTTTTCTGCACAGCACAGTGTCTGGCTGATGTGGTGCTTCCCAAGCCAGGCTCTTGCCCACCTTGTGCTGCACAGCTGTTTGCTCCCACCTGCATGCAGATGTTTGCACCTGCTTAGCGCAGGTGTTCTTTCACATCTCTCCGAGTCTCATGGAAGCACAGAACATCCTGAGCTGGAAGGGGACCCACAAGGATCATTGAGTCCAACTCCTGGCCCTGCACACTCCCACAATCCCACCCCATGCTTCAGAGCATTGTCCAAATTCTCCTGGACCTCTGGCAGGCTGGTGCTGTGACCCTTCCCTGGGGAGCCTGGTCAGTGCCCCACCACCCTCTGGGGGAAGAACCTTTTCCTGATCTCCAGCCTAAACCTCCCCTGGCACAGCTTCATGCCACCCCTTCGAGTCCTCAGCATTATTTGACCTCTAGTCCAGTTTCCTGGAGTGTTCTCCTATCTCTTAGCAGGACACCTGCGTGCTGATCACGTTTTTCACATCATCCTTATCACCAATGACATGCTGGGTGGTGTCAGGGCCAGGACAGGTCTCCTTGCCCAGCACATCCTCCTGACAATGAATCAGCACCACCAGCTCCCTCCATATGTTTTTCAGATGAGTCGTGTGCCCACATTAGAGCAGTTTCTCTCTGCTGTGCTGCTGAGGGAGCCATGTGCAGCATCACTTAATGAATATCAAGATATACAGCACTGCCTGTTCCTCCAGCTATTCACAGGCCAGTTGCTCTGTCGCAGAAGGAAATCAAATTGGTCTTGACAAATGGGTGTCAGCAGTCACTTATCATCTTGTTATCTTCTAAGTGCTTACAAATAGGTTGTTTCATTATTTGTTCCATCAGTTTTTCCAGGAGTTTGAGTTAAGTGACCAGTTTGTTATTCCCTGACTTTTCCTTCTGCATATTTAAATGTAACTAGGTTCCCTTTTTTTTTTTTTTTTCCTGGTCTTCTAAAATCTCTCCTATTTGCTGTGATCTAAGAGAGGAACAGGAGCTCTGAGGCTGCTTCAGCTGAGCCCTTCCCTCCTTTCCTTTGGGGCTGGTGGATTCACCAACACCCTGGTTGGATGACTGTGTTCCTCCTGGAAGCCTTCTTCCCTCTGTGGCTCTCACTTGTGTTATCTCCTTTGAATCCTGACCTTTTTAATTTTCCAGCCAAGTTCTTTTGAAAGGTTACCATTATCCACTGAGTGTTTTTGTGTAGAATTTTCTGTAATCTGCAACAATATGGAAAATTTGGGCCAAATTGTGCTTTTGATTAAAATAAGCACAACAGCAGTGGAGTAGAGTTGGGTGTAGTTTGGTCCTTTCAGTGATTTTCAGGAGCATCTGGTAACTTTTGGTGTTCACAGTGGCACACTTTGCCCTGACAATGGTTTTGGAGGGTGGTGACCCCCTTGCCAGGGAGATGCTGATGCTGTGGTACCACACACGTGTGGAAGTCCCTTTGGCACGTTGTATTTACCCTGCCACGGCCCAGCTATTTCTTTTATTAGCTCTGTTTCTCAATTTCTCATTTATCTTCTTTTTTCCCCCCTCCCTATTCCTTCAACAGGAATCATTAACCAGTGGCAACAGGAATCCAAGGATAAAGTGATCTCCCTCTTGTTAACCCACCTGCCTTTACTGAAGCCCGGCAACATCGAGGCGAAAGTCGAGTACATGAAACTCTTGCCCAAAATCCTGGCGCACTCCATCGAGCACAACCAGCACATCGAGGAGAGCAGGCAGCTGCTGTCCTACGCCTTGATCCACCCTGCCACCTCCCTGGAGGACAGGAGCGCCCTGGCCATGTGGCTCAACCACCTGGAGGACCGCACGTCGGGGGGCTTCGGCGGGCAGGGCCGGGGCCGCTCGGACTCGCTGGACTACGGGCAGGCTCACTACTATCACCAAAGACAGAATTCTGACGACAAACTCAACGGGTGGCAGAACTCTCGGGACTCCGGCATCAGCGTCAGTGCCTCCAGCTGGCAGGACAAAAACCTGGCCTGTGAGAACGGCCACCTGCCCCTCTACTCCTCCTCCTCCGTCCCCACCACCATCAACACCATCGGCACTAGCACAAGCACCAGTGAGTACCCACGGGAGGCTCTGGGGACAGTCCCCCCATCCCACTAGGGATCACTGCTTTGCCGTGCTTAGCAGAGGGGCTAAACTCATCTGGGCCATAGAAAACTTATTTTATTTTTATTTTTTTTCCCCCCTTTCCTCACCTGCTTTTTTTTTTATTTTCTGCTCGCCTTGTTGGGGGCTTTTTCCTCTAGTGCTGTGGGATTTTAAAGACCTGGGAGCTGGAGGGGAGGGAAAAACAGCAAAGAGTAAGAAAAAGAGCAAAAAAGTGTTACAGAAGGGAACCCCTTTTATTTTGCGTAATTTTGTGTAGATTTACAGTTCGTGTTTCAAGAGTTCCTAAGGCAAGCAGGAAGCTGATGCTTCATGTCCAGCAGTGTGCTGAGGATTTATTGAGGAGAAATGGGATTGGGACCCTGGGTGCAGCCATAAGTTTGGAAGCAGAACAGCTTCAGGGTGTCTGAAAACATTCCCTTGTGTTTGCAATGCAGAGATGTGAAGCTGGTGGTGATGGAGGAGTTTAGATGGACAGTTCTCCGTGTTTTCCAGGAGAGCTGGGTGGTTCTTCCCCCATGGAGACCTTGCCAGGCTTTGCTGGATGATGCAGAGCCCAACCCAAGGCTTGGACACACAGAGAGCTCTGTGAGCAGAGATCTGTCTAACGCTGGTTTTTGTGTGTAGAGCAGCTATAACTGGTGTTCAAAGCAGCCATTGATCCCTGTGAGCCTTCTCTGGGAGAGCAGGAATGCAGCATCTTCTCAGTGGGATTCAGAAGCTCCCCTGCCCACCTGCTTGCTCTGTGGAGGGCTGTCACACTTTTGGGTGACTGCCACCATGTCACCTGCAGGGCTGAATGTCCTGCTTCATTCTGAGATATTCAGAAGTCTCTCCAAGATGCTTTATCAGCATCTCCTAGAAATCAGGGATGCAGACAGCACTTTGGGGAGGAGAGGCTTCTTGTGGCAGCAGCTCTGGTTTCTTTATGAGAGTGTGGAAAGCCACAATTAAATAGCTAAAAGCTTTAAAATGGTCACTTAAGGCTTCTGGGCTTTTCTCTCTCCTGTAAGAACTGATTTTTTTAAAAAAATGGTGTTTCAAATCCAGAGAGATACAAAACACAGCTCTGGGTTTATTGCTGTATCACTCTGGTCCCTGCCTCTCTTGTGTCCATCCTTGCAGCCATGTATTATTTAATACATGGGGATTTAATAGAAGGGCCTCAGCTTCTCCACAAACTCTGAACCATCATTCCCATCCAAGCCCCTGTCTGTGAAGCCCCCAGCTCCTGCTGCTGTGGGACTGTGTGATGTTCAGCTTCTCTGAGAGCCAGACCCTTTTCTCTGAAGCTGTTCTGGGGTGACTGAGCTGCATGGGAAGGGTCAAACAAGGAGGCAGGGTGAGAAAAACCCTATGAATTTACTTGCAGTCAGTCTGTTAAACCTCTCCAAGGATTATTTCTTTTAGGGGCATGGGGTTTCCATGTAGTTTTTGCATGTCTGTGGTGGCTGGAACTTTGCAAGGTGTGTTAGGTCTTGAAGGGCTCTTTTCACAAACCCACTGGTGGCTTTTTGAGCCTTTCTGTGCTCAGACTTAGCTCTCAGCAGAAGCATTGACCCACCCCTTGCCCACTGTGGTCCCCAAGTACTGGCACAAGATGCCAAAACTGAGGCAACAGCTGAACTACTCAGCAGTGCCTGAGCTGCTGCAGTGCTGTGGTTTTTCCTAAATTCTCCCAGAATTTGGTGTGTTCAGCAGCAGCTGGGACAGGAACACCTGTGGGTCTGCCAACAGCCCTACACTTTACCCAGTCTTTTGCTTGAATTCCTCCTCAATCTCTGCCACTTGCTTGGCTGCATCTTCCTCTGCTAGTGATAGCTTAGGCCCACGTGTTAAGCTGTTGTAACTCCTGCAGACATATTTTGGTGGCACCATGCTCAGAGAACCGTGGGCTGAGCTGGAGGTGACCCAACCACACTTCATGTGTCAGTTCATAAACTTCCTTAACACAATATTTGGCTTGGGCAAAAGCCTGGTAAGTCCACAGATAGATGCTAAAAAATAAACACGGCTGTCAGCCTTTGTCCCAGCCCCTTGACTCAATCGATATGTTTATTAATCTTTTATTCCAAAGCAAAGCCTTCAACTCCTTAGTGTTTGTTTAGGTTTTAGTGTTGTTATTAGTTTTAAGTTCTCCCTCTTACTCAGAGGTGTTTATCTGTGCAGAGGCTTTAATCCAGCAACACCCTGCAGGGCACAGCCTTCCCTGACCTGTCCCTGCAAAGGCACTGCCTGTTCCTGACACAAAAATGGGGCAAAGTCTTTCCCAGAACAGTGATGTGGTGATCTTGTCTGAGCTACATTCTTCTGGTGCTGTGGCACAATGAGATTTAATGCTGTCATGGCACAGGGCTTAAATATGGGTGGCTGAGGCTCATGTGATGTTTTGCTTTGTGCTGTCCTTGACTTTGACGTGACCTAGACTCCAGTTTTGAGATTTGGTTCAGGATTGGTTCATCTCCAGCTCTCCCATAACTGCACTGACAGGGGTTAGCCAAGGTTTAGCCAGGGCTTGAGGAGATGTTGGGGAGGCAAGTCTGGAGTGTTCTGTAGAAGTCACTGTGGATTTACCACACTAATGGTGCTCCAGGAGTGAGACCAGTGTCCTAAGGGATGAATTTGGGTCTGGAGTGATCAGAGGATATGGACTCACCCCAAACAGTGGAAGTTGGCCCAGAGAAGCTGTGGCTGTCTCATCCTTGAAGTGTTCAAGGCCAGGCTGGATGAGTCTTCAGTCTGGTCTAATGGAAGGGGCTCCACTCCCATGGCAGGGAAGTGGAACCAGATGGGCTTTTCCAACCCAAACCATTCTGGGATTCTGTGATGCTCATGTGCTCCTTCCCATCCATTGCATCAGCAATTCCTGCAGAGCTTGAGATGCAACTTTAAGCCAAGCTTTATCATGCTGGGAGTGCAGGCAGCCTTGGCATGGGCTCGGGAGCACAGGCAGGGAGGAGGCTGGAGCTGCTCCAGCGTGGGGGACAGGGTGAAGCCTGCAGTCCTGGCTCTGGCCAGGTCAGGCAGCAGTTGCAAAATGTTGGGGTTGCACAATGCCTTTGTGACCAAGACACAGCCTGGAAACTCTGAAAGGACAGAGGAAAGCAGCTCTGTTTCCAAAGCTGCCAACAGCTTCTTGTGTGGGGGCTCCAGCTCCTTCCCTACCCCTGTAACTGGCTCCACCTGAGTGGGGCCGATGGCGTGACAGGATTTGTTGTCAAATGGAAGCACAGCTCAGGCCTGTGTTTTCCACCCCTTTGGCAGGGAATCTGTGCAGAGGCAAAGGAGGGTCTGACATTAGCTGTGCTGAGGAGGAAGATTGCAGGTACATTGGTCTCATTTGGACCATAAAGTCGCAGGTCAGTGAGGGATGGATCCAGTCAGAGACCTTGCCAGGGAATATCCCGCAGAGCAGGAATCCCAGCTGTTGGCACTGTGTTCACACTGGAGGGGTGTTGCACTCTGGTGTTTTGAGAGGGAACAGAGCTCCTTGGGCCAGCAAAGCTTTTGCCAGTCTGGAGCCACTCCTGCACAAGTGGGAAAGATGCCGGTGCTCAGGCCTGCTACACCCTTCCCATGGGAGTCTCTGCCAGAAAACCAGTGGTGTTGGTCTGCAGGGAGATGGAGAGTGAGCAGAGAAGGTGCTCTGTACAAATTTCTTGTCCTGAAAAAGAAAAATCTCCAGCTTGTCCTGGAGCTGAAGAGAAGTAAATCAGGGTTCTTCCTTCCATGCACCCCAGCCCAGGATTAAACTGGATATTTTGGAGGAAATTCTTCCCCATGAGGATGGTGAGGCACTGGTTGTGCAGAGCAGCTGTGACTGCCCCATCCCTGGAAGTGTCCAAGGCCAGGCTGGGCAGGACTTGGAGCAGCCTGGGATAGTGGAAGGTGTCCCTGCCCATGGCAAGGGATTGTACTAGATGATCTCTAAGGTCCCTTCCAACCCAAACAATTCTGTGTTTCTGAGATCCTGCCCTGCAGGCAGACCTGGACTGTGTGTCAGATCATGTGTGTGTGACACAGCTTGCAGGATTTTGCCAACATTTGCTCCAGTTATGGAATCCCCAGTGAGAGGGCAGATGAACGTGCTGGAGCTCTCCTGGAGTCATCAGGGAGCTGAACAAACACCACAAACACCAAAGCACTTGCCATGAGCAGTGTGGGTTTCCTGACTCTTCCTCCCCAACCCTGCTGTGCAATAGCTCTCTGCCCAGCCCTGGAGACAGCCCTGCTGCCATACCTGGTACCCAGACTGAGCTGGGTAGTGGGATAACTGCATGTTTTAACCCACAGGACCACCCTGGTCCGTGTTGGGTTGATGGGAAGTTGTTGTCTTCTGTGTAGATTTCAGCAACACCTGAAGGGAGGGTGCTGTGTGTCCTCAGCCTGTGTTTGCCTCACACAGGGGAGCACATTTCCTCCCATGCAGACTTAGCAAAACATGTCATGAGAAAATGAAAAAGTCTTAGTGGGGTTACAGCAGTGAAGCAAACAAATGTTCTGTTCTTGCTGGGGGTAGATTAGCTTTTGGAATTGCCTTCAGAAAATTGTTCTTTTGGCCTTGCTGAGACTTGGCAGCCTGGCACTCATCCTGCCAGCTGGGGACACCCCTCACGTCTGCTTTTCTTCTCTTTTATGGATAGTCTGAGGAAAGCTCATTGGCCTTTATTCCACTGGAGCTTCTCAGTGGTGGCAGACAAGGACATTTGTTGTCTTGCTCATGCCCTCTAGTGTCACACACAACAGGCAGAGAACACTTCCAGAAGTCTCACACTTTGTCAGGTTCCCAGTGCTACAAAATCTTGCTAATCCTGTAGGTTGAAATCAGAATTGTTGCATGAGAAGATCAGGTGTGATCAGGATTTTTTTTGCTGAAATCCATGTACATCAATACAGCAACAAACAGGACTGTGAGGGAGAACAACACAGAATCATGGAATCACTTAG